CCCCCCCCCCCCCCGCCCCGATTGATTGATGCACGTGTCTGTCGCTTGACCTCTGTGTGCACAGGTGGACTTTTGCATCGTCGATCTCGAAAACCAAGGCCAGAGCCAGGCAGGCAGGGAAGGGGGACAGTAACAGACAGACATGACACACATCGGTCTTGAGGTCGGCTGTGTGTCCGCATGTGTCTCGTCAGGTGGTTGCGGCATGCGGCTGGTGCAAGTCTGGCTCGTTGCGGCTCATTCGGAATGGTATCGGCATCCACGAGCAAGCGTCAGTCGACCTGCCGGCCATTCGTGGCCTGTGGCCTCTCAAGGCCGATGTCAACGATGACAACGCCAAGATACTGATACAAGTAAGAAAGGGACGCACGTATGCATGGCTTTCCAGGCGTGTCTCTCTCGCACGATGGATGTCTCTCGGTTGTCTGTCTGTCTGTCTGTCTGCGCGTCCCCCACCCACTCACTCACTTGTCCACCCAGACATTCATCGGGCAGACGCGTGCTCTGGTGCTCCAAGAGGACGAGCTGTCAGAAGAGACCTTGCCAGGGCTGCTCCACGACGAGGAGACCATCCACTGCGGCAACGTCACCGCACACAATCAAGCAGTACAAGTGAGCTACTGACTGAACGTATCGCGGACAGGCAGGCAGACAGGACAGATGGGCTCCCGAGTGCGAGACCCCGACTTGCTTGTCTCCTGTTGCTTCTCAGGTAACTCGGGGCTGCATCCGGATTTTGTCTGCGACAAGCTGCGAAGCGCAGAGGCAGTGGAGGTCAGTCAGACGTACACCCTTGCGTCCGCATGGCGATGCACCGTGCGGCACTTGTTTATTCTCTGGGCTGTTTGTCTCGCCTCCCACTATCCTCTTGAACTGCAGGCCGACGGACCTCAACGCTGCCATGCTGCCCGCCGATGCGAGCATCAATGGTTCCACCCGCATCAACGTGGCCACGTCTTCTGCAACCTCCTCCCAAGTCCTCCTCGGACTCTCGGGAGGGATACTCGCCCTTTTGCGGGTCGCCGACGATGCCCCGGGGAAGTTGGAACTCATGAGCATCAAAAAGATGGTACGCACGTACGTACACAACTACCACAGGCAGAGAGACAGGTGACGAGACAGCGCTGTAGAAGGTTACGTGCCTGGACGCCCCTTTGCTCGTAGGAGAGCGAGATCGCCTGCCTGGACCTGTATCCTGAGCGGGGCGTATGCGGTGTCGGCTTGTGGGTCTCGTGCAGCGTCTCTCTGATGAGCCTCCCTTCCCTGTCGCTTCTCCACAACGAGGTGTTAGGTGGCGACATCATCCCTCGATCCCTTCTGCTGGCTCAGCTCAACCAAGCAGTCGACAGGAGCGATGACATCATGGCCGACGGAGGACCAGCTGAGACAGGGCAACCCACGCATCCCTTCTTCTTGCTGGTCGGAATGGGCGATGGCCGCCTCATGTCGTACGCCGTCCAAACCAAGGGGTCACATGAGCAGAGGGGTGGGGAGGCGCCGGCACAGGATGACCCAGTGCATGCAATTGAGGTGTCAAACAAGAAGGCCGTCCACCTCGGCTCCCAGCCAATCACATTGGTCAAGTTTACCACTTTAGGGCGGCCGAGCGTCTTTGCCACAGGCGACCGGCCGACAGTGGTTTCGTTGTCCAGTGACATCGGGGAAAGCGCCAATGCCTCGAGCTCTCAAGACATGGGCAAGCTCCTCTACTCCAACGTAAACCTGCGACAGCTCAATCACGTGTGCAGCTTCAGCAGCCCTAGCTTCCCAGGGTGTCTCGCCTTTGCGAACGAGGTGCCAAAACACTCATGGATGGGTGTGATGTGTGAGAGGGTGGCAGCGGCTGTGGGTGGATGCGGGTGTGTGATTTCCTTCGCTAGGAACAACTCACTATCGGCGGGATCGATTCGATCGCCAAGCTCCACGTGCGAAGCGTCGCACTCAAGCAAAGCCCAAACAGGTCAACATCGTGCACTCGTTAAACCATGTACATACGAATGGCATGTCTCGGCCGTGATCTCCACAGAATAGCCTATAACAAGACATTCGGAGGCTTTTGTGTTGCATGTTCAAAGGACGAGACGGTACGGGGACGATATCACTGACATGGCCCCTGGTCGATCGCGCGCATGCACTGCATACGGTGCAGGATGACGAGTCGAGCAGCCAGCTGTCCTCGTTACTCTTCGTGAATGGAGGGACACTGGAAATAGAACACAGCATCGGTAGGAGGGGAGAACACGGAGAGAGCGCAACCGCGCAACCAATCTCTCCCTTGCGATACTTCGCTTCGATGCCTGCAGAACTCAAGGCGAAGGAGCAGCCGTCTGCCATCGCCTCGGTGGTCTTTAAGTCGACGGACTTGGACGAAGACGGCGAGACACAACCAGAGCACTTGCTGGTCCTTGGAGTAAGTGTAGTTTCGGAAGAGGTATTCGACTGTGAGACCGGGCGTCTGTACGTGTACCGTTTGGACGTCGATGTAAGCATGCAACAGCACGTCTGCTTTAGCTCTGTCTAGGTGTGCATGTCTCAGAGTCGGAGGGTCGTGCAGGTTGCCGAGTGCCACGTCGACGGGGCAGTATGGGACATCGTACCGTTTCAGGGGCGTATCGCTGTTGCGGTCAACTCGAAGGTGTGCAGGAGCCCGGGGACAGAAAGCACCGTTTAACCCTGACTTCTGGCTTTAGGTGAGTATCTACGATCTCACCAACCAGGACGACGCGGGAACAGCCCTTGTCGAAGTGTGCAGCATACCTCAAAGAGTGCAGGTGCTGAAGCTCGACGCAAGGTAAGACGCAAAGCCAAGGGTGTCTCCATGAACATGCGTACCTGTCTTTCGTGTATCAGGGGTGATCTTCTTCTTTGTGGAGTAAGTGTATCGAGTCGCTATTGATCGTCAATCCGTATGACCAGCATCATGAGGGCTCTTGCGCTACTATCAGGACTTGATGCAGTCAGCATCTCTTCTGAGATTCGAGAAAAGCAAGCAAGAGCTCGAGGAGATAGCGTCTCATGCCGGCCAGCTTTGGACCACGTAAGGTGCCCACATTGGGTAAGATGCTCAAACCCTATCATGGCCATCGTGAGCCTGTTTCAGGAGTGTGGCTTTCCTGGATGACGACACTTATCTTGCGGCTGGTATTTTTGTTTCGCGAGGAAAGTGCTAAGGCAGGCACATCCTTTCTGTTTGTTTCCACGTCAGATGACCAGAAAAACATCCTCACACTCTGCCGGAACACCGAGGCAACTACAGACGAGGAGCGTTCGAACCTCGAAGGTATCTTGGTGTATTATCACCTGAGGGAACGTGGAGGGATGTATCCGTGCGTTTACAGTGGTCGGCATGTGGCACAGCGGAGAGCAGATCAACCGGTACCCGTCCAGCAGATTAACCGGAGTAGCACCTGAACCATTACTGGTTCGGTTCTTTCGGCTTTTTCTGTCAGCTTCTGTCTAGGGTCTCTCGTCACGACGCCACTTCCGAAGAAAGATGATACCATGCACGAGGGCGAGGAAGCTACAGCAGACTTTGACTTCTTGCCTGTCCAGCGCTTGATCTGGGTTTCAGCCGATGGTGCGATTGGTGAGGTTCTGTCTCTGAAGGTGCGAACATCAGAAAGGAAAGAATAATCAGAAATATATCAGTCCTGATTTACAGGGCGAGAAGGAGTTCGCAAGGCTTATGATGGTACGTTTGAAGAATATGACTCTGGAGCTTCTCTGAGCACTTTTCTCGCATTCAGATCCAAGATGCAATCGTTTCTGTCGCTCCTGTAATTGGAGGTCTCCAGCACAGCAAGTGGCGTGAATTCGAGAACATAGTTGCGCAGCTTGAAGAAGTAGGAAAGCAAAGCAGAACTGGCGAACGGGGGATGGTTTTCTGTTTTGGAAGGGAACCCATCGCGGATTCATCGACGGAGATTTGGTCGAGCGATTCCTGGAGATGGGAGCTGACGACCAGGGCAAAGTCGTCGACAAGTTGAAGTAAGGTGTCGTTTTTGGATTACAAAGTCGGCGTCGTCCTCTTCTTTCTCTTGTGCAGAAACGCTGGCCTCGAGTGCGACCGTGCAGCGCTCGTCACAATGTGCGAAGGTTTCCGTATCTGAACAAAGACTTTATTCTACGTGAAGTGACCATGTCCATGTTGAACGAGTTCCCATGTGTGGACGCACGTGACTTTGTCAACTCTAGAAACAGCTCTCTAGAAACCGCCCAAATTGCTCCTCCGGGACAAGAAAAAACAGTCACTTTGCCATGAAACACCGGACAGTAATGTGGAGTGAAAAAAACACGGGTAAGTTGGCCAGAAAAAGCCGTGCTGCGTTGGTAAACACGCAATTCCGTGAAAAAGGATGAAGTCAGGCTGACCCCACTAAACCTGAGGCCTTGTCTGGACGATGAAGACGTCCTCCTCGTTAACCACGCAGCCTTCGACGTCCTGAGCCCAAGAAGACCGTAAAGGTCCTCGGTCGAAAGTGGTGAGAACGCTTACCTGTGGAACACCCTTCATGGCCTTTTCGATTTCGAACCCTGCCTGTCCTAGCTTTGTTAGGAGCCTCTCCCTATATGCTGAATCTTGCACGATGCGCAGTCGATGATAACGCAAACGAACCTGTGGACAAGTGAAGGATATTTCATCCCAGCGCTGCTTCTTTGTTGCTTATACCTCCTTGCTCCGCTCTGCTGTCACGGACTCAAACAGGCCTGCTCCAGCGAAACCCTGCTCATTGACATCATTCCTCATGCCTTCACAGGTTCACGGTGTACAGGGAGTGAGCTCACTTCAAGGTCTTCGCCATTGCTATCAGATCGAAAGATCAGACAAGCCGTCGGCCTCAATGCAACGCTCTTCGACAGGAAGGAAACGATCTGCGAAGGAATGAAAAAAGAACGATCCAGTCATCCCGATGAGGGCCAGTCCTTACTTGGGGTTTCTCTCCCTTCTTCACCCTAAAACTCAGGGCACGACCAGGATAGTTCCCAACCAACGTCTCCCCGAGGCCTGGCACTACTTCTCCGTACCTGGTCAAATTACAAGAAATGTAACCATGATAGACCAGAAGGTGCACGGGCAGAGTGGATACTTACACCTCGTCTTTCTCGTCTGAGAAAGGGTTCTGTGTGTGGAGGACGAAGGCGTAGGAGGCAGGCAACAGCTCCTGTATGAGGACTGCCATGTTCTGAAGGGGAAGAAAAACACACACACACATGCAAACGAGCGAGCATGGGAAATCTTGCAAGAATCGTTGCTTTGCGCACCAGCTCATGATACTTCCTTCCGGCTTTGGATAAGCTGAGAGAAAGCGAAAGTCTTATCGCCTGCAGCCGAAACGCACCGCTCACACTGATTCCTACCTGACCCACGGGCGTATACCAAAAAGGCTGGCCCAAACAGCTTTAACAGCTTCCCAAGCGGCATCTTCGTCTTTGAGCAGATCCAGAAGACGACATTCGTCCTGCCCCTTTCCTCTCGCTGCAGCTTGCATTGTCTCTTTAAGAGCGCTGAGGTATTCATCCGGCTCCACGAGCTCTTCGATGAAATGCTTTGCCTGTGCGTCAACAAACAAGGCGAAAGGAATTCAAGTCTACTTAACTCAGAACTCTCGTACCGATCCAAATATGCCAGCTGCGCGGTCATTACTGGTGTCAGGTTTGAGCTGAGACAAAAGTGATTTCAACCTTGGAAGAACAGTGTTCTCATTCAACCTGAGACAAAGCCGTGGAAGGCAAAACATTGTCATTGCCGCACCTTTCCTCTTACGGATGCATTAGAGTTTTTTGCATTGTCCCGTAAGGTAGGGCCTATGAGAACACTCGAAATGGCTGGCTGAGTACCTCGAATAAGCTTCGTGCGGAGTCTTACCACGGCTTCTGGGGTCCTTATTTCGAATGGCAGTTGTGATGAGGTTTCCATCAAGGTTTTGGCTAGAATCTGAAGGTTGAGTGACTTCGAGCCGACTACTGACCTGCAAACGAAATGATTAAGCAGCAAAGACGGCCACGTAAACCAATCCCCTGGTCTCACCTGTCGAACTCCGACGGTGCGACAACCCATCGATTGCTTCGCTGTGTGAGATTCATCTCCGCTTGGCTGGCTCGCCTTCCCTTAAGCGCACTATCCTCAATCAGCAGCCGGCTTTCTTGTCTTGATAGACCTCTCATGGCCGCCTTTTTGGATTGTTTGTCAAGATCGTCAGGACGAGGCACCTCGGTGATTGTCAAGCCTGTTGGACATCAAGGAGTCGATTGAAAGCAGTCTCGTAAAAGGAAGCGGCGCCGTCTCTCACCGGATCCGTCCTTCTTTGCGCGAATCTCAATCCATTTGCCCAAGAAGTCGCCTTCGATCTGCTGAGTGAGATCGGCGTCAAAGCTGACGGCTGAAGACACGACACAGTTTTGCAATTGATGGACACACTTTGGTACCAGTGTAGACCACTGCAAATTATTTGGAAGCCAACCTAGTAGGACGCCTGCGTTTCTCGCGCGGACAGAAACATGACTAAGAATATCCTGATCGAAGAAATACCGATTGTCTATGAGGGATCTATGTGCGTACACTGACTCACCGGTGATTCTGCAGCGCTCCGGACAAGAACACCATGCACGCCCGCCGGAACTTCCTCCTCACCGCTGACGGCTGGCACAAGATTACTGCGTCAGACTTGCCAAGCGAACAAAAATTTCCTCACCGCCGCAAAGGAAAATGGTAGGCCTTTCGTAGACTTTGTCCTGGATGTGCATAAGCCTGTTGTCACAGAGAACAGAAATTTGTATGTACTCGCAGAGCTCTTGTCAAGACTCTCTCCACCGGTCAATCTTTTTCAGTTCCCCTTGGATTCGGTCGACAACCGATATCATTTGCCACGGCGGCAGGTGAGCAATTGCTCGAAGCTCCGGCTCGATGCGCTTGAGGACTAAACTCACCTGATGGCGGTAAATAAAGAAAACACTTTCATCTCCTGTCATCGCCCTTTTTTCATGCTCCAATCCATAACCGAGAACAAAACGCTTCCGCGGACGACTTCATCAACAAAGACCTGTGATACGCCGACCGACATTGTGTCTTCATTTTAGGCGACTCGTGTGTGTATGCATGCGATGCCATACCTCCAAGACCTGCATCGAGACAAACAACATCGGTGAGAACAGGGAACAATAATGATGAAGGGCCTCACCTGGGGATCAGTTCCAACTTGGGAACCTAAGAACTTCGCCTTTGGTCCAAGCAGGTTCTGGAACTCATCGACGACGTCTCCAACACTTCTTGCAGCTCGATCACAAAGTCCCTGTGTGTGGAAAAATCGAATCGGTGCAAACTCTCTTCACTGATGTCGCGCTTGAGTAAATCGCGTACTTTGAGAAGAAGCGCACACTCGACAGCACCATTCTGCCAGTTCAAACTTGCAGTTTTTCTGGCTAGTTGGACGAAGTCGCCATAGATCGCCCTGGAAACCACAAGCGGAGTCACCCCTGAGTCCTCGTTGTCTTCCTACATTTGCTACCTCAGCTCTCCATTCTCGGGCGCATGGCCAGAGAGAGACATCAGAAGGCTACCGAGCTGAAAGGTTCATTATGAGAGGCCATGCGATGTGAAAAGGCCTGTGTCTCTTTTTTTCTAACTTGGTCCGTTAGTTGGACGACCCTGTGTGTTTTTGGAAAGCAACGACAAGTATGCGTTTGGATGAGTGCTCCCGTTACCTTACCTTTTTTCGCCATATGTGCTCTGCAAACCACAACGTGAGAAAGGTGTAATAAAAAGCTTGATGCCATACCAACCTGAATGATGATGTTCTGTTGCTGTTCAAGGGCTAAGTCAAGAAATAGGATGTCCACAAGAGCGCCTGGGTCGACGTTCTTGTCATTGATGATCCTTAGCAGTGCATCTCTGCACTCCGCAACTCGCATGAACTTGTGGTGGGCGCTGTTGCGACAGGTGAGACAAGCGGATCATGCCACCCGATGTTCAAACCAAGACAATAAAGTACCTGTCAAGTCCTCCCATGTCTCCGTGATCAAAGGACTTGGATCTTCTTCTTCTGAGCCCCCCATGTCCAACCTCGTGAATTGCTCTTTCCAGTTGTCCGACAACGTCGTGTGGCAACTTTCCTCGTGCGTAATCAAGCGCTGTCTGCACACGACGACCGTGAACAACACAGATCAAGTCTTCCTCAGATCATTGCACCGATCATTACCGCCAGGTCAGTTGCGTCGTGCACCTGCATGGCATTTGGAAAGGATTCATTTAAGCGCCTTTTGTCTGTCTTTTTTCGTTCGTTCTTACGGATTGAAGGATCTTCAGGTATTGGTCGAACTCGAAGATAAGCTTGCCAGTGTCACCGTGCATGTACGGCTCTTTATTGATTGGCCGGTCGTAGCTTGCGAGCCTCTCACGTGTGATTCCGTGGTCGTTCAGCACGTCCCAATAGGACTGCATGTTCCCTCCGCTCCTCAAAAAAGCCAGAAGGGCCTTGCAAATCCCAACCTACACCCAAGGATGGAACCCAACGATGGACGAGTCCTACGTGTGTCTTCGTTCACAGCGTACGTCGTCAGGCGTCCTGACGGCAAAGTAAGAAAAGAAACGCATCAATGGCAAGCAAGAGGATAAAGGGTAGACCTACGTGTTGTTGTGCAGCTTTTGATGCCACTACAATCATGATAGGAACACCAAACGGCAAAGGTGTCCCAATGCTGCTTTTCGTTTTGCTAGGAGGCCTGACCTGCTCGTAGAAGTGTCCGGCTGTAGGGAACGAACAGGAAAATCCTTGTCTGATTTCCGTTAATGCTGCGGTTTTTCAAAGCTGACCTGTCTCAGGTATGCCATTTCTGTGCATGATCTGCCACGGACCAAAGGCATGCAGAGTGATCAGCTCTTAAAATGAGTGAATTATCTTACATGAAGTATCTCGTCTCGAATTCTCTGTCCTTGCGAGCCCCCGCGTCCGAGTGTACCGATGACCAGACGGATCTGAAAGAAAAAAGAACGAATGTCTGGAAAAAAGGGGAAAGGGAAGGCGCTTGCCAAAGGACGGCATTTGGGGGTTGTTTTCCAAACTTCTGCAATCCTGAACGTACGAAAAAGGCCTTCTGTCCAGGACATTCCGAGGAGCTTTTTTCGGTTAACCCACTTGTAAGACAGGGAATTGGTTGCGCCTGCGAGTTCGCGAGGCTTCGTATTGTAGTTGCGCTGCCAGTCTAAGATCTTCATGAAAGAGAAGCGCTGCCACACCTACAACAGGCAGGCGGGACAGCAGAACACGAACGTGAACGTGACGGAACGTGACGTCCCCATTTCCAAAAGGAGCAGTTGCGCCGCCTACGTAAATCCAACTCCAGAACTCCTGTTTTTCGTTCGCGAAAGAAACAACACGAAAAGAAACCGATGAAGACGGGAATGTGGATATCTTCTTTCCTCTAGACTGAAGTTTCAAACACACCTTGTCCGAGCTCTCGCGACTAAGGGGTGGAAGAACGAGACTGGAGAAGGAGGCGGTTGCAGTTATCGGCTTTCGCGGCTCTTCTTGGAACACTGTAGCCCAGGATTTAACCCTCGTTAGCGACTTTTTCTCCTCCTCTGAAAGGTTGACCGGTTGATGCGAGATCCGACGGCAAACGTTTCTTTTTCCTCCGGCGCGACTTACCAGGACGGTCTCCGTCCCAGTCCTCGATAATGCCGCGACAGAGGTTGTACCTGCCGAGAAACCAACCGATTATGAATCATTTTTCGTCTACCTGTTTGACGGATGTCACCTGTGCATCTGCATTCACAGAACAAATGCATGCTCCTTTCGTTTCTCCGCGCGCGTGACTGGTGCGCCCGCCCGCACTTTACCAGTGTCCATCCTCCGGCGTCCACCTTCAGTGTACATTAAAGGATGCACACATGTGGCTGAAGTCGGCTTCGTTTGTATATAAGCCTATTACCTCGCCTCCAAGTATCTTCTCGACGACTTCGCGGTGTTCTCCTTTCCACCCATCTGCTCCACTGGCACTGAGTCGTACGAGAAAGTCTTTGTTGTCAATCGTCTTGAACCACCCATCCCCTTTCTCTGCTTTCAAAACGAACGCCAGGCCCTCCACGAGCGGTACGACTCCGGCATCCGTTTCTTCGTCGGGCTGGGCAGGACGAGCGGGAAGGACAATCTGATGAAAGATCGACATGTGAACTCATTTGTTTTTTTCCCTCAGCGGCTCCTGACTTCGGTCTTGTAGAGGCCCGATTCGTCAGGGACCATCGGCGAATTACACGATCTGAATGCATGTCGGAGTGCCTGTCTGCAACCAAAAGGTCGTGTCTTACTTTTTGGGATCGACGACAGCTGTGCCCGGGGGTCGACAAGATTCTGGGGGGCAGGTCCACTGTGATTTGCGCTTCCCCTCGAGAATGCCCCAATGGAGAAGGCAACCAATTTCGAGACATCCGACAATTGTCACCTAACGCGCATGTCAGAACGTGCAATATTGACTTGAGAGACGACCAACCCCCACCCTCGTGCACCTTGACTGCCTGCTTGTCTTGTGTAGACTCCGCACTGCAGTCGAGCTCCCCCAGCCCTCCAGTGATCGACCACTGCTTGAAGAAGATATCAGCATTGACGCGGCTGACAGCTCATATGAGGGACCAAGTCGGATGGAAAGGGCTGAGTGCCTTCGTACCGTGCATCTCTGCTGGCGTGGTAATCGGAAAGGCGTTTTTTCCGCATCATCTCCTTTTCTTCCTCGGCCTTTTTCAGCTTCTCCTCATACTCCTGTTCATTAAAGCAATCTAAGCAATCTGTTCGACGAACGGTCTCGTGTTTCAACTCACATACCTGGATCGCGGCCTTCCACGACTCACTGAAGCGCACGCAAACACACACACACACACAAACGCACACACAACACACACGCAACACACACACACACACACACTCAGACGGAGAGGCGGCCATGTGTGCGGGCGGGCCGGGAAAGCAACTGACCGGATAGGAATGTGAACGTCGAAGTCGTCATTCCCCTGGCGAGAAGCACAACATCGTATACGTGTCACTGTCTCTTGATCCGTGCTAGACAGGAAAGCCATGCTTACGTGCTTCAGCCAGACGTTCCCTGCCTTCTCTTTCAGCACAAACAGAAGGTATGGCGCCACACTCACACCGGGAAGCCACAAGTGAGTGCCTTGGATTGCACTCGACGCGGCGCCATCCGTAACACGCAGGCCAGACGCCGAGGCGTCAACGTCTACGGGCTGCATCAAAAGCATCCACGCATCCGGGTGCATGGAGGGGTAGCGCACACTGTCTGGGAGACCTACCATGAATTCGGTCTGCACAGCTTTCTCATCCCACGCGGCTGTCTTGAAAGGCCGACTGTCGATTGTATCGAGCTGAGGCTTCCTCCATTGCCCCTTCTGATTCGCCATGCCCTACCACACCATCATACACAGGTAGTCAAGCACCGAGCAAGGAAGGTGTGTCTCGTGATGTTTGTGTGTGGTGTCAGGTGGACCCAGTGGAGAAGAAGACTCTTCGGTGCATCCGTGAGCACAAAGAGGTCTGCGCCCTCTTCACCTTCGAAGAGGAGCAGCTCAATACCTGCGGGGATGGGATGCTCGACTCTCCAAGACCTGGTTGGCAATCAATCAATGAGTCGCTATTGCTTTCGCAAGTACCATTCCGCTCACTGGTGAACGGTTGCTTTGTCTCGGACGGCCAGCAGGTCCTTTGTTGTCTTCTTCAAGGCAGAGCCCCGGGACACTTCAGACACCAGATGTGGAAAGTCGATGAAGAAGTTGCCATTCCCTTGCTTAATCCACTGGTTAGGAGGCCTGAGTGTATCGATCGCACGGTCGACGCTCGCGTCGGTGTCTGACGGTGCCGACTCCCTCCAGCAGCCAACTTACTTGAACAGGACGAAATACAGCCCTGCTGGCATCACGGGAGCAGTCGCGGAGCCGTCTTCTGGCACGGCCGGCACAAATGTCAGCGCCAAGTCGTGCCTGTCCTCTCTGCTCTCGAACAGAGAGCGCGCAGCCCCGGGAACGGCTTTCGTCTCCGCTCTGGGTGGATAGAGCGCAGAGGGGGGAGGCGTCCACTGTTTCTTCGCATTGCTCAAGCCCCAGTGTAGCCACAACTCTTCCCTGTAGCCACGCAGGCACATGCACGCAGAGGGTGTGTGGGATACCAAGAGCCCCTCGCAACATACACAAAGCAACCCACCCAGTGCCAAAACCTTCTGCCTCAAGAGCAATCTGTATCTCCTCGGGGGACGCAACAACAGCAGCCACCTGACCAAACACAAACACCAAACACAGCGCAGCACACGACGCGATGTATGTGAGCCACAGCTGCTTGTATCGATGGCTGCACCCGCAGTTTCCTCCCGCCCAGATTGAACGTGATCTGATGGGAGAGGCCGTTCATCTCGGCTCGTGCTCAAACCGAAGCCTCAGATCCGTCAAGCTCCGAACCAAGCGTCACTTGGGCATCCCCCTTCAAGATCGAACTCATGGGCGAGCAAGCTCGCCAAATGGCCCCAAAGCAAGTCAAAATTTTCCCCTCAGTTCGGTCAACTGGTGACCATGGGACAGTCACAGGAGGACTGGGAGGCCGCAGTCAGCTTATTCGCGCAGGACTTCGCGCTCACCGTCATTTCCGAATCCATGAAGGTACGGGAGCGTGTCTGGCATTCATTCATCAAGGATGCCTCCGTGGCTGCCTCAATTGACACAGGAGCTTGGATTGGAGCTCGAAGAGGAGGTCGAGGGTGTCAGCGAGCCGCAGGAGTCCGACCAGGAGGTGCTCCCTGTGCTGATGGATGCGCTGACGTCGGCGCATCCGCCAAAGCGGCCTATGGGGAGCCCCAGCCGCAAGACAAAAACACGTCCTCCTGACGCCCCGGTTCCCGGCGTCCGGGATAATGACATACCTCCCCCAGAGCCGTCGCCTCGCCGTGAGTGGCTCGCCGACTCGCCGCCCCGCCCAAAACAAGTCCCTGATGTCATGTACGGCAGCCCCGCCGCAGCGCTGAGCCGCCACGCCCGTGTGCATCAGTGGGAGCGGGAGAAGCAGAAGGAGGCCGCCAAGGAGGTCCTCCGGTGGAAGAGGGAAGCCGAGTCGCGTCGGAAGAAGGTCAAGGAGAAGGAGGAGAGAAGAGCGGCTGCCATAAAGGCGGAGATCGATAAACTGTTCGCCCGCCACAAGAAGGAGATGGACCATTGGCGTGAGTTGG